AGCCCAGCTCCAGGTTGAGCTGTTGTTCAACATCTTAGCTGTAGAGGGCAGTGTCACTGGCCCTCATATGTGGGATCCGAACCGGGGCCCTCTGATGTCCCAAGCCAGCTCTTAACCATTGCGCCACTCGGCCAGCCCAGCACGTGGAGTTTTTAATGAACCACTTAGGTGCTATAAGATTCTGTTCTTGCTGGAGAAGGAGGGGAGAGATGGTCACAGAGGCCAAGTTGCCAGAGTTGGAAACTGGAGTCTGTGACAATTGCTTCTTTTTATTTTATTTTTTATTTTTATTCATTTTTTTTAAAAAAATTAGCTTCATGTGTAAAACGCAGTGCAATAGTTATACTTTTTACCCCTCAAAATGACAACCCCCCTCCCCCAATCTGCCACTCCACTCCCCCCCATATCATACATATCTATTACAATTTCATTGACTCCCCTCCCACACTATATTCCACATCCTGTGACAATATATATATTCAATTATAGTTGACATACAATATTACACAACATCAACTTCAGGTGTATAGTGCAGTGATCAAGCTTCTACCCCATCCATGAAGTGGCCCCTAACAAGACATGTGACCATCTGACACCCTACAAAATATTTACAACATTATTAATTATATTTCCCGAACTGTCTTTCATATCCCTGTGGCAATATTGTAGTTACCTATTTATGCTGTCTAGTCCCTTCACCTTCTCCCTCATCCCCACCGCCCTCCTAACTATTAACCATCAGTCTTTCCTCTATATCTCTGAGACTATTTGTTTACTTTGCTCGTTCATTCAGTCTTTTAGATTCCACATATACGTGAGATCATATGGTATTTGTCTTTCTTCGAATGACTGATTTCACTTAACATAATAGTCTCTAGGTTCATCCATATCATTGCAAATGGTATGATTTCATTCTTCTTTATAGCGGAGTAATACTCCATTGTATAAATGAACCACAGTTTATTAATCTAGTTGTCTACCGAAGGGCATTTCACTTGTTTCCAAGTCTTGGCTATTGTAAATAGCATTGCAATAAACATAGGGATGCATACATTCTTTTGAATTAGCGTCTTGGGTTTCTCTGGATAGATACCCAAGAGTGAAATTGCTGGGTCATACGGTAGTTTCATTTTCCAGTTTTTTGAGATACATCCATACTGATTTCCATAATGGCTACACCAATCTGCAATCCCACCAAAAGTGCACCAGGGTTCTTTTTTCTCCACAACCTTGCCAGCACTTGTTGTTTGTTGATTTATTGATGATAGCCATTCTGTTTGGAGTGAGGTGGTATCTCATTGTGGTTTTTATTTGCATTTCTCTAATGATTAGTGAGGTTGAACATTTTTTCATATGCCTGTTGGCCATCTGCATGNACACCCTTTAGTACTCCCTGGGTCTGTGATTAAAGTTATAAAGAAAACCAACAATCCAACTCAGCAGGACTGAAAACGGACCAAAATCTTCAAGAAAGAAGGTTTTGTCAACTCACCTGGCAAGGAAACATGACTAGCTCAGGTATTTGCTGAGGACAAGGGGGATATGGAGTGTGTAGTGAAGAAGGTAATTACAGACACCAGCTCTGACCACAGGGCTAGTAGCTGAAACAGGACTACAGGAGTAATAAGCATGCTTCCTTATTGTGAAATATGTTTAGATATATATTAATGAACTATTTTTTATTTCTGCCCCAGTCTCATCCCACTGTCATCCAACATAGGTTGTGTTAAAAATAGTTAACTTTATGTCTTGGTATTGATGTTCCAAGATACTGCAGGGGTAATAAGGATCAGCTGGAGAAAATAAATATCACTAGCAGACAAAATAGTATTTTGCATCCCCTTGTGGTAAAAGGTAAACATATTCGTGGTTGTTCACGGGATAGTTTTATCACATTAAATGGAAGCATGGATACCGTTTTTCTCTTTAATTTGGAAAATGTGTGTTTTGTGGAGATGTGAGTGGGTTTTATGGTGACAAGGGTGCACTGTGGTGGCTTATTAAGTGTTAACATTGACAGGCTAAACTGTATTTCACAGAATTATTTGCTGTCTATATTTCTGGTTAGCGTGGGTGTAAAGAGAGATTCTTGTGCAAGATTTGGAGGGTACAAGTGAGGCAACATCCACTGTGTAACTCACACCGTAGTTGTGTCTCTGCTGGGTCACATGGTAGGAGGAGGCGACAGCCCTGATTCCTCTGGACTCACTGTCAGAATGGACCTGACTCTCCCTCTGTCTTTTAGAACCCAGAGCACCTAGCATGTCAGGCTCTATATCATTCTATAAAATACAAGGAACAATCAGATCTCTCTGGGGACTTTGACGTGCACATTGGGGACGTAGGTGAGAGCCAGATCACTGTGGCTATATAGTGGCCTCTTTGGACCCTGATGACCATATTGGGGACAGTTGGCCTTCTTGTGTTGGGTTCCCTGGAGGTAGACTCTGTGATTAACAATTGGGTTTGCAGGAAATCTGGAAGGGGGTGAGGGAGGAGACACTAGACAGGAGAAAGTAACCACATGAGATTATGCATGAGGCCTCAGGTTCCTCCAGGGGGCTCTAACGCTGTCACCTTCCAGTCACCCTAATTGAGGCAGGGCTTGGGGACCTTGTTCCCAAGTGGTAACTACACTGATGTCTCTTAGAAGGGTACAAACCTGGGAGGCCTTTTTCTGAACCAACAGCACTTTCCAGTGAGGGCGCTACTGAGAGCTGCCAGGGTGTCAAACAGTGGTGGTGAGTGAGTGAGCCCAGAAGAGGGACCTAGGTGGAGACCACACTCCTTTGCTCCACTCAGAATCCCCAAGTGCCCCAAGGGCCTGGAGCTTCAGGTGCTGAGCTGAGGTGCGTAATTGAGGGCGCTAATCCTGGTCAGTTGAGTGAAAGAGTGACCCAGTGACCACCATATAGAAATGCAGGCATTGACCACTGGATAGATGTCTCTCTCTGTCTGTCTTCCTACTCACACTCTCTGTCCCCAACTCACACCCAGGCCTAGACAGCACCAGGACAGCCTGGTCCTGCCAGCCCTGGGTCCACTCCTGTTCTAGCCTCTGCAGACTGCCTGAAGGCTGGGGGGAGGGGCAGTTTGGGGATCTCAGACCTGGGAACCTGGGTCAGACCTGCTCATGGGTTTGTCACCAGTCTTCTTCGGGCTGGAGAAGAGAGTGACATATACAGAGAATGGGGTTATTGCCACAATTCCCCATCTGCCTGTGTCACTGTGAGCTTTATCACTGCTGTCCCACACCTGACAGTAATAGTCATTCTCGTCCTTGGCCTGGGCCCCGCTGATGGTCAGGGTGGCCGTGTTCCCCAAATTGGAGCCAGAGAATTGGTCAGGGATCCCTGAGTGCCGGTTGCTAGTAGCATAGATGACCTGGATGGGGGCCTGACCTGGCTCCTGTTGATACCAGTGAACATGTTTTCTTCCAATGTTGTTTCCCCCACAGGTGAACCTGGCCGTCTGTCCCTGGGCCACCGACATAAAGGTTGGCTGAATCTGCTCATAGGAGGTCACAAGGCCTATAAGAGAGGAGCAGGGGTGAGTGACAGAAGATGAAGGACCCATACCTGGGAGAACCGCCGCCTGCCTCCCCAGACCTAAGCTCAAAGGATTCTCTGGGCTCCCAGGGCACCACCTCCCAACACCTCAGCCGCAGGGCCCATGGACTTGGCTGGTGGGTGGAACCTCTTAACAAATGAGATCCAGTCCACTCCACCCCTTTTCTGGCAGGTGCAGCCCCCTCAGGGCTCACTCAGAGCCAATGAGCCCAATGCGGGGTTCAGCCCCAACTGCCCCTCATTCTGCAGCTGGGTCATGAGCATCCTGCCCCCACAGGCAGCGTCCTGCTGAGCTCAGAGTAGGATTGGGCTTGTCCAGAGCCCTGGAGATGGGGGTGGCTGTGAGCCTGGGCTCAGCACCTGTGCAGAGAGCGAGGAGGCTGAGGAGGAAATGGGTCCAGGCCATGGTGGAAGCACTCTGATTCTGCTCCCTGAAGCTGAGCAGGTTTCCTCCCAGGCCTCTCTTATCCCCTTGATGGAGAGAGCTGCTGGGTATGCAAATCAGCCAGGGTCAGGGGTGCTGCCTGAGGAGCTTTGTGGTTTCAGAGAAGGGCTCAGCCTCAAGGGTTGGGGGGGGGTGGCCCCTGCAGACCCCACCTTCAGCCAGGGAATTCTTGTTCATTCTCTGAAGCCACAGTCTGGGGCTGACATCTCCATCACCATCTGTGCCCTGACCTGGATCCTGGACTGGCCTGGTCACATCAGAGCTCAGAGTTAAAGTCTGTTTGCATTTTTGGAACCCATTACAGATTGTTAACACGAGTGGTGACCATCTGAGCCTTAGGTCAGTGCAGCGTCCTACCCAGATCACAGTTTGTGAGCATCAGAGCCTGAATAAACTCTCCCTTGCTAATAGCATGTGGAGTTTTTTTGTTTTTGTTTTTATTGGGGAATTGGGGGAAGGGGAACAGACAAGTTGCTGTCATTTTGTTCTTCAGTCTAGTTGTTGAGGATGTTGCTTCCCTGGCCCAAGTTGGCACCATCATTGCGCTCTTCCGGGGCAAGGCAGATCAGTCGCCGGCTTCTGGACGGCCGCTCACTGCGGCTGCTGGCAGTTAACGAGACCTATTCATGATCTTTATCTTGGAAGAATTTGTGAATTATTGCTCAGATCCTCTGGATTTGGTGCAGAAAATATCCTCTATTGACAGACCCTGNATACATATAGTCACGGGACATGGAGTAGAGTATGGGAATGGAGTCAATGGAATTGTAATAGATAAGCATGATATTGGGGGTGGGACTGCAGTAGATGGGGGTAGGGGGTTGTTTCTTTGCGAAGGGTGAAAAGGATAACTATTGCATTGTTCTGTACACCTGAAACTAACAATTAAAAAACAATTCAGAAATTAGTTGTATTTTTATACACTAATAACAAACTATCAGAAAGGAAAATTAAGAAAACTATTCCATTTACAATTGCTTCAAAAAATAAAATACTTAGGAATAAATTTAACCAAGGAGGTAAAAGACCTGTGCTCAGAAAATTATAAGACATTGAAGAAGATACAAATAAATGGAAGCATAAACTGTGCTCATGGGTAAGAAGAATTAACATTGTTAAAATGTCCATACTATCCAAAGCAATCTATAGATTCAATGTAATCTTTATCAAAATATCAATGGCATTTTTCACAGAACTAGAGCAAATATTCCTAAAATTTATGTGGAACCACAAAAAAACCCAAATAGCTAAAGCCATATTGAGAAATAAGAACAAAGTTGGAGATATGCTACCTGATATCAAGCTATACTACAAGGCCACAGTAATAAAAACAGTATGGCACTGGGATAAAAACAGAAACACAGATCAATGGAACAGAATAGAGAGCCCATAAATAGACTCCATCTATATGGTTAATTAATCTGTGACAAAGAAGGCAAGAATATACAATGGGGTAAAGACAGTCTATTCAATAAATGGTGTTGGGAAAACTGGACAGATACATGCATAAAAAAAATGAAACTGGACCGCCTTCTTACTCCGTATACAAGAATAAACTCAAAATAGATAAAGACTTAAATAAATGACCCGAAACCATAAAACTCCTAGAAGAAAACATAGGCAGTAAACTTTATGACATTGCTCTTAATAATATTTTTTCTGATATATCTCCTTGGGCAAGAGAAACAAAAGAAAAAAACAAATAGGATAACATCAAACTAAAATGTTTTTGCACAACAAAGGAAACTATAAACAGAATGAAAAGACAACCTACTAGAAGATATTCACCAATGATACATCTGATAAGGGGTTAATATCCAAAATTTATAAAGAACTCATACAACTCAACCCCCAAAGAACAAAGAATTTAATTTTAAAAAATGGGCAGAGGACCTGAATAAACATTTCTCCAAAAAGAACATACAGATGGCTAATGGCTACATGCTCACTGTCACTAGTCATCAGGAAAATGCAAATAAAAACCATAATGAGATATCACCTCTCACCTGTCAGAATGGCCATCATCAATAAATCAACAAACAACAAGTGCTGGCAAGGATGTGGAGAAAAGGGAATACTTGTGCACTGTTGGTGGGATTGCAAATTGGTACAGCCGCTCTGGAAAATGGTATGGAAGTTTCTCAAAAAATTAAAAACAGAACTACCATAGCATGACTCAGCAATCCCACTTCTGGTTATTTACCCAAAGAAATTCGAAACACTAATTCAAAAAGATATGTGCATCCCTGTGTTCACTGCAGTGCTATTTACAATAGCCAAGGTATGGAAGCAACCTAAGGGCCCATCAATAAACGAATGGATAAAGAAGACATGGTACATACATGTAAGTTCAATGGAATATTATTTGGCCATAAAAATGAATGAAATCTTACCACTTATGATAACATGGTGGATCTAGAGGTCATTATGCTAAGCAAAACAAATCAGACAGAGAAAGATAATTAATACAGAGATCAGACAAACATGACAGGCACAGTGAGAGCTGGAGGAGGCCTCTCTGGAAGCAACTGTAAAGCTGCTGTCAGGATGAGTGTTGCTTTACAGCCGATTCCAAGACCAACCCTGCTGCATTAGCTCCTGACCCTATTAGTCATGAGAGAGTGTCTCAGTATGACTGAGGCCCGGTGGAATGATATCGGTAAAGCTCTCTTGGGGGGTGTCTCAGTATGACAGGGACCTGATGGAATGATATCAGTTATCTCCCCTATATGGGAGGACACAGTAACAACCCGTGTCCTGGGGCTGTGTACTGATGTATGAAGGCATAGCATTTGTTGGAATACAATGGGGATAGGTTAATGGAAAACAGCCTTAAGGCACACAGTAACACATGGTTACTAATTCACAGCAGTTTTTATTTCTTTGAAAATTTTCAATAAAAGCCATGCGTTGACCCGATTCGGGGCTCAGTCTTCTTGACCCAATTCGGGGCTCAGTCTTCCAGGCTGAGTCCCTTGGTCTCGCTCTTATCTGACTTTGTCTCTTGTTCTTATTCAATCTGCATCTCCCCTCTCGAGTCTCATTTGCCCTTGCCACGCAGGACATGACAGACGGGAAGATGGAACCAGTAATAGGAAGTGTGTTTGAGGAGAGCAGAGTCAGTGCCCTGTGGGAAGGTCTGGTTTGTCTGAGGATGAACAAACAGTGAAAAACGAATGTGTCTATGTTTCAAAATCAGTTCTGTTCCAACGTGACACTTTCTCATAAGAATTTGGAGGGCAGAAGTGATGTGTCATCATTAGGTGTGATAAGGAGGAATTTCCAGGTAATAAATCAGGTTCTATGGCAGCTGCTGAGCACATGAAGGGGCCTCCAGAACATTGCTGCTGGATCAGGGACAGGTTTGACACAGGCGGGTTCAGACCATCCTCTAGCCTCACTATAGTTTATCTGGGGGCTGAGGTCATCCAGGAGAGCGTTACTAATCCCTCCCCTCCACACCTGTACCCACCATGTAGTGATGCCAGGGATTTATGGTGCTGCCTGTACCTCTGGTCCTGGGACATCTGTCTAGTGTCCCATAAGCATGCCCTATCCCCATTTTCCCCACACAGAGGGAGGGAAGTGCATTTGACAGAGAAGGGCAGGAGCTGAGAGAGGGTGAATGATGTTCCCAAAGTCACTCATGGAGAAAGAGAGAAGAGTAGGACATGGGAAGTCTGAAACTAGAAATAACAACCTCTTTTGAGTGCAGTGAAAGGAACCAGGCAGGGATGGGGGAGGGGAAATGGGGAAACCAGCCAAAACATCAGGGCTCCCATAGACACTTCTCCTTGCCAGTTCTTCCAGCTGCCTGTGGGGGTGCTGTTGCTCCTTGTCATAGGGCCATTAGGTACCTGGGAAGACAGCCATCTCCCTGCTCCCTTTGGTGCTTATCAAAAACCCCAAGGATGAAATACTCCAGATCAGAAGTAAGTAGAGAGACCTATTCATGATCTTTATCTTGGAAG